GGGGGGGGGGGGGGGGGGGGGGGGGGGGGGGGGGGGGGAGGGAACAACAACCAAGCCGTGAGCGATGACAGCGAGCGACGACAAAAACGACAGCATACACAAAAACACAAAAACACAAGAAAAAAAAAACAGAACGAAAAATCCCTCTCTAGGACATCGCAGTACACGCCGCCACCCAGGAGATGCAACAACAACAACAAACAACAACAGCACAAGAAAAACACCAAAGAAGCAACCACAACAGTATGTGGGACATCGCCCTATGCGCCATCCACGGGATGCAAAACTCCTCGCAATTTGTTGGAATCTGTAGCTGAAGCACCACACCGCGAGACGAGAGCGACCAACCTGACCCAAAGGGGATAGGGGGCTTGCATACTCTTCGTCGTCGTGGACGTCCTAGGCGCAAGTACGTCGTACGCGCAAGACTGCACCCGCTGCAACGGTTTCAAAACCGCCATTCTCGATCAACGATGGCCGCCATCTACCACGAGAACCTCGAAAAACCTCTCCTCATCCTTGGTGTCATAGGGTCATAGGGGGGGGAGGCACCGCGGCGGATATCGGCTGGTACCCCCTCGCGTGCCAGTGCGTAAGCAAGGGACCCTTTTTTGTTTTTCTTGTTCGCTGCCTCTCTAAAATGTTGAACCGGGCTGATCCTACACTCTTGTAACTCTGGACAACAATGCCACGGTAACGTGTCAAGCTTCACGACAGGCACGACGACGCCGATGACGACGGCCATGGAGGTTTTCCCGAGATACCGTCTCTCTGACTCTCTGTCTCTGTCTCTGTCTCTGTCTCTCGCCCTGACTGACTGTCTCTGTCTCGCCAACGCCGCGCCGTTACGACACAAACACCTTTCCACCTTCGCCACCTAGACAAGGACATCGAGCTAGCTTCAAAAACATGGCCCCGTGTCATCACATCCACGGCGACCCAAGGCCCGAGACTACCACGGGGGTACAGTAGCACAGTAGCAACAAGCTCACCGGGTTAGAGGTGGGGCTGGCCCAGAGATGGGTGCTGAGCACGAGCCCCCTCATTCCTCCACACCAGAAGGAGTAGTAGTCCGCTCCGAACCTACATAGTCAGTCGAGTCCCCAGAGTCGTGGGAAAAAGGGTTGTGCGTGTTGATGGTGGCGGTAGAGATGTAGACGGCAATTGGTGGTACAGAACGTTGACGTAATCGGACGTGCAACAGTCGTTTGGGGGGGGGGGGTCATGTTTTGCATACCTTAGCGGTAAGACCATTGACTACCCGTCCTCTCGAGGACGGGTAGTTGTTGCCACAGGATCGATCACCGATGGCCAATCGTTCCTCCCTACAATGGCAAAGGTGGCTCAAGTGTGATTTCCCTGACCTATCGGAGTAAGCATGTATGCGCCAGACTCTTTCTTGTTCTCACTTTCTGAACATGTTTTGTACCTGGTGCTATTAGGAATCAATTTCTGAAGTCGCGTGTACTACTGAAGCCAACGACACAGAGTGGGGGTACCCCTATAGTGCCGGCTGAACAGTGCCACTGCCCGGCACAGCACACCCGACACGCGAGCATTGACATTTACCACAGAATTTCTGCAACAGCAGTGCCGAATGCCCCGTCTAGCTCCAACGGTGAATCATCTGGCCTAACAGTGCCGGATGGCCCGGTCTGTAGTGTCTATTGTCATAAACAACCCGACGGGGGGCACACACACGGGCACAATCACCGAGGGACCCCCCACGCAAGCGAGAGCGCCCTCGTATTGACCTGTCTTACCAGACCGGAGTCTCATTACTGTCTCACCCTCACCTTCGGACGTAGTCCGACTCGTCGTCGTTACCCCCGTTAGCGTCGCCAAGGTCGTGGTTTCCGGGGCAGTACAGGACCGGGATGGTCTCCGAGACCTTTCCCAGTAGCTGGCGCGCGGAGGTTACCTGGTGTGGGGGGGGGCTTCGCGGAGTCATAATCCCTTGGGTGTACTCATGAAAAAGCATGCCGTAGTCGATAGACGATAGACCTCGCACGCCTACAATTCCGGGACGGAGTGATGTGTGTGATGTGCCGGGTTTTCGCCGGCCCAGGCTACGTTTCGTAAGGACGTGTTGTGGAATCAATATCCCTCGGGGGTCACTGGTGTACTGTGTCCATCCACAGGCTCGAAATGCCAAAGGCGATACAAAATATCAGATCCCCTGGACCGATTTGAGGGCTCGACTTCTCCACACCGAAGAGCATGTACAAATCAAACCATTTCGTTTTCGGAAAGCTCTTGAGGCGGTTCCAACGCCGCGGTCTTGGCTTCCTACGCGTTCTCTTGTGGATTAATCGAGGTTTGAAAACAAGTCCAGGGTGTGGGATATCCTGCGTCACCTACGATACTGCCGTCGTATCCATCATCACATCTTTCGTTGCTGCTACAGTTCACAACAAGAGCAGAAAAAAAAGAAGCGCAAGAGAGACCACGTGTACATGGGCTACAGATGAATCCAAGATTCGGAACGACACATGGAGGAAGGCGTCAACCCCGAATACCCTAACGCCACGCAATGCCAACGCCCAAAGGTCAAGCGATTAGCAGTGTGGTACAACATGTAGTGCCTTGGTAAGCGCAGTAGGTTGGGTACCCCTCGCTGGTGTGTGGTAGGGTTGTCTCCGCGGACGGCAGGCCGGGGGGTGGTCTGTTCTACCCCTCCCCCTCCGCGGGTGGCGTACATCCATATTGTTCTCGCTTTCCCCCCCCCAGGTCGCGTAAATTGCCCCGTCCTCTCGAGGACGCGTGGTCAATGGTCTCACAGCTACGGCATGCAAAACATGAAAGTACGCCCAGGTCGTGTCAACTGACGCTGGGTCCACTTCGCTCCGATGTTCGGCGCTTGGACCGTACCGTAGTTATCCTGTGCTTGGGGGAATAGGCGTTTCCTTGACTCCACGTGGTGGGGGCACGGCCCATACCATCACCCACCAACCGCTCTCATGGCGAGGGCGCCACCGCCGGTTTCACATCCCGCATGCGGTTGCGCCGTGCTGTGCTGCGCAGTTTTCGATCACACGTGGGCCAACCCGGCACCGTGCACACACACACACACACCTACGGTGGACGGACACACAGCTTTCGCTTGCACGCCCCCCCCCCCCCCCCCCCCCCCCCCCCCCCCCCCCCCCCCCCCCCCCCCCCCCCCCCCCCC